TTTTAAAAAATTAGCATTACAATTAACCTGAGCTGTACTATAAAGTATGGTTCATATTACTAATTAACTAATTGAACCACTGTTAGTGAGCTCCTGCTGTGTGCCAGGCATGTGTCAACAGAGTGACCACACAGATCCACTCTCAGCTTTCCAGAAGCGTACATTAGGGCAGGGGAAGTAGACACCAACAGATAGCTGGATAACTAACTCTTAGAGTAATGGCACATTGTGACATGAACTGTGAAGGGGAAGGAAAGTAGGCTTAGAAAGTACAGGAGAGGGTCAGAGCCCCAGAACATTCTGAGTCTTAACAGATTCCCAGGAAGTCCGGCTTCCTAGGAAGAGTGCTCTGGAGACAGCCTTCTGAAGGGAGGCGTCTGTCATTAAGTATTTAAAACTAAATGAGTTATTGTCACCTTTAGTGTGTCTAAGGATGACATAGTCTGCTTTCCATAATTCTGCGTAGGCTAGGTATAGATTTTTGTACCAGACAAGGTGGAATTTGGCGCATCGGCAGGTAATGGGATGGGGGACTGCTCTGCTTTAGATGTATGATGTGGGAGCTGGGGACAGAAGTTGAAGGATATTAGAGGTGCCCCTTTCTCTTTCTCTTTTCGCTTCTGGGAGAGCGTGTATACTCTTGGCAAACTTGGCCAGGAATCAGTTAAGAGGTGACAACTGCTTTACAATCACAGCCTCAATCCACAAAGAGCCAAACAAGCCCCCTCCATTTTCTGCCTGCCCTTCCAGGCTCAGGAAGGAGAGGGTATATGCAGAATTTCGTGCTGGGGATAGAGGTGGGTGGGGAAGCTTTCCCCAGCATCTTGAATTGGGAGCCAAGGGTCCCCTATAGCGCTCTGAACTCTGACAATGGGAGTGCAGGGGAGTGCATCGTTTATAAACCATGACATCTCGTGCTCTCATGCCTGCCCCATTGCCCCCCTAATTGCTTCCACACCTCTCATCACTCCTTTTTTCCCCCTCTTGAGGGCCTCAGCACAGTGAACAGGCAGATGGAGGAAGGGTGTAAGATTATTGTAGAGAGGGGAGGAATTTTCCATTAATAATAAGAATAATAATGTTTCTTTTGTTGGAACAGCACTCATCAGTTTACCAAGTGCATTCACACTTGACCTCTTTGGATCCCAGAGGTTGCGGGTTAGGACCGTTGTGTCCCAGCCTTAGACGTTGTCCCCACGTCCAAGCAGGCCACTTCTTTTACAGACACATGCCCTGTGAGAGGTCTAGGCTTTTTCTTAAGCACAGCCCCCTGTGATTGCTGCTCTCTTTCTCATGTGAGTTCCAGGTTCTGCAAGCCCCCACCACTTCTGTGAGCTTTCTGTCAGATACTCTCATCTCCAGAGAGTTTGAGCAGGAAGGGGCCTGAGAGGCCGTCTCGTCGAACTTTGTCACTAGCTCAGAGAACAGAAGGGACTGGGCCAAGGTCACATAGGTTGTCAGGAACAGAGCCAGGGCTCAGACACCCGCACCCGCACACGCACGCCTGCACCTCCTCCCCCCAGTGCCCTAGGCACCTGCAGACTTCGTCTCCTGGGGCTTCTCGCCAGTTGCACAGTGGAGGCATCACATATGGGGGTGTTGCGGAACTGTAACCTGTCAACCCTTACTGTTATCCTTTCTGAGGGGTGTGGGGTGGGAGAGCTCGCCCGTCTCGGGAATCCTATGGGGGACTTTTTAAATGAAGTTAGAATTGAGTGTATGAAACTCTGGTTTTACACACAGAGGGCCACCCAGCCCCAGGACAAGAGGGACTAACAGATACCGTGATGCCCCAGCAGCAGGAGATACCTGCACACACAGCAACCGGCCTTCCACTCCCCCTACCCCCAACCCCTGGCCCTCTCTCCCTCCTCTTCTGTGGCCTCTAGTTCGCCTGGTCCTCCCTTGCCCTCCCCGCGCAGCAACAAGTGCGGCTGCTGCGGCTCCTCTTACCACGGCCTCGGTCCATGGCGCCGGCCGATCCCGGGGCGCGCGGCAC